ATATATATATATATATATATATATATATATATATAGCCCATTATCACATATCGCACATTTGGCTCAAGGGCACTTGACAATCTGTACATCATACGACACCCTCTGTCCTTGGAACGGTGCTTCGGATAAAAAAAATTCAAAAAAAAAGTTGCACTATGCGTGACATAGATAGTACTGAAGGTACTGACTTTGTGGTGGGCTGTACTGGTCCTCGGTGCACGTCCACGGGTCTCTGGCAGCTCCAGAGCTGGTGCCTATTGCTACACTGGTTATAGCCTCTCCCACTGTGAACTGCAGCTCCACCTGTTTGGCCTTCAGACAGAGAAGGGGGGGAAAACCGTTGAGCAATTTTTCCACTAATGAGCCCCCGAAACAGCTTCAAAAGGACGTCAATGAATGGTAATAATTTGGGAGTGCAAAAATCCTTCTTCCCTAACAATGAATGATTAAAAAAAGATTGTATTTGTGCGTTTCAACCAGAAAACATGAAAATCCTAGACAAAATAAATTGTGTTAATGCTGCAGTCAGCATGTTTCATACCTCCACAGAGTCCATGAGACCCTGCAGCAGCTTCTTCTGGTGAGGGAAGTCTCCGTCTCCCACAGGAAGGTAACCCAGGGTCTGGATGGATCGCTCCTTCATCTGGACCGCATATGACAGACGACATAAAGACGACATGTGTTACAAATCTTTCGGCTGAAGATCGGATGCATTCATTTGAAAAGCATACATGCACACTTCAAAAACGCCACAGCGTCCACTTCCTGCCATGTACTCCCTGGTTACCTTGGTGCTCTCCTTGCCAGAGGGGATGCGAGCCAGCAGGTTTTCCGTGGCCGACAGTTTGGTGAAGCCCGCCCCGTCTGCGGGGATCAGGAGGGGGCCGTTACGGCCGATTTCTCCCAGAGCTGTACACGCTGCCACAGCCAGCAGGGCACTACTGCTGTCCAGGAAGGAACCTGGAGGGACACACACACACACACACACACACACACACACACACACACAATGAACTCATTCCTAGTTGATGGTCCCAAATAGACAAAAGCAATTTGTTTTCAATTAGTTTGTGTTCACACAAAAAAAGTTTGATGGCAAATACATGGCATTTTAACACCAATTTATTGTACACGAACAGCTGCTATAGTCGGTCTGAACTGCAGGACATTGTCGCAAAACAAAATAATGCATACCGATTGACTTGGTGGCCATGGCAACAAGTTCATCATCTCCCTGGGAGGCGAACCTCATTTGCTGCTCCATGTCGTGCGTAGACTCCACAGAGGCCACAGCTTTTTTCTTGCTCATGTATCTTCCCACCATGTAGCCGAGAGCCAAGATGGCACCGTGCTGAGTCTCGGGACTCTGTGGTTCAACAAAACAAAGAAACATTTACACAAAAATTCACACTTTTAAATATATATATATATTTTTTTTAAACCTTCAAGTGCTCCGAGGGGACAAAAGTCTGCATACGTGGTTGTCCTTGGTGGTTTTGAGCAGGTTGTGCACAGCCGTCTGCAGCTCGTTGCCAGTCATGGAGGAGACCACCACGGCATACAGCTGGGCCGCGAGCTCCCTCATGTCCTCCTTATTTGTGTTCATCAGACTCTGGAGAGGACAACATCTGTCATAACAGCTGCAGTGGAGACGTGTGAATGATGCTCGTGGTTTTTACGATATCACAGGACAGCCAAGTGATCGGAGCAGTTAGTTTAACGGTGCTGATATTTGTCTCACTAATGAATTAGAGCGCGATGACTCTCACTGTAGACTTGCCTCCATCCTAAATCCTCCATCTAAACAAAAACACATACATCAAGGGAACACTCACTTTAATCCAGTCAATTCTATCAACAAATCTGGGAGCCAGTATCTCTGGGCAGACAGACACCGCCTCCAGTAGACAGTACATCACTGGGATTCCTGTTGAGATGAATAAAGGGGGATGCAATAAATAACACATGGAGTGTTTCCAACTATGATTATCATCACAATTCTTTTTTTTTTTCTTTTAAAGTACCACCCAGATGAAAATAATTGAAAACATTACTTATAAAAGGCTCAATAATTAACAAAACAAACACTCTCTGTACCACTGATATCCCATTAATATGAGCTACTGGTGGGAATAGTTATGAAGCCCATAATAAAAATGGACACATGATGCTGCAGCAGTTTTAACTCACCCCCGACAGCAGTCAGCAGCTGCTGCAGCAGATCCATGTAGACATGAACGGGGTTCGCCTCCGAACCCTTTGACTGAGACTCGGAGGTCAGCAGCGTGCGGATGTAGCGGCCGATGGCCGGCGCGTCGTCCTGCATGTCGGTCAGCCGCGTGGACAAGGGCGTGACCCCAGCGCTGTGGGCCAAACACATCCTCAGGTAGAGCACGATCTGGGAAGATAGAGGGAAGTTAGGCGTCTGCAGCAACAAAAAAACTCATCCAATGTCACAGCCTGATCACCAATTAGTATTTACCTCCCCGAACGCAGATGGGTTGAAAGGGATAGTGTAGGTTCCAACAGTGTATTTAGCTGGAGTCTTCATCCTCTGAGCCGCCTGATAGTGACCAGATTTAAAAAAAGAAAAAAAAAAAAAAAAAAAAAAAAAAAAAAAAAGATTAAATCATTGTTTTGTTTAGCAAAAGATGGGTGGGTCTTCAAGAGACTGAAAAACAAGAGCAGAGCCTCACCTTCTCCTGGACGTAGGCCACCATGTCAGGAAAGGAGGGCATTGGCTTCGGTCCCTCCTTCTCGGAGCTCTTGTTAGAAAAAGTTCTCAGCACCTTCTGGGCCTCCGCGGCCACCTCCTCCCTCCTGAAATAACACACACGACAGCTCATGTTATCTCCTGCAACACTTGGGGAAGGTAAACGACTATCGCCCTTATTTTAGCGTTAAAATGCTAAGCAAGTGCTCTCGAGACTCACTAAAATGCTTATTTGCGTTGCCATTAAATTGCCGTTACATCGAAGTTCTCTGTGTTTTGGGACTTACGGGTCTCCAGCTGCCAGCAGCAGCAGGTATCTTGATGGCACGTGATCAGAAGCAAACACTGTGCTAGCAAACTTCATGGCCACCTGGCGAACCTGCACCTCCGGCTGCCACAAAGAGTTGTTGATTATGCCTCATGTCGACTTACTAAACTCATCAACATTTGTTTTTTTTGTTTCCTTATTAACCGAATACCTCGTTTAACCTGCGTGGACTCACCTTTCCAATATATGCAGCCACCAGGGCCTCCATTAGGTTCAGCAGCGCCCCCTGCAGGTTGGCATAAGCGCCGACCATCATAGACAAAGCTTCCTGAATGGCAAGACGGACGTCAGACTCCTCCTGAAGAAAAAGGACACAGATTTTTGGAAACATCAATGTCAGATACTCCCTTTGTACCTTCTTAGAATTAAGGCTTTAGAATGTGTTGTTGTGTGCTGCTGAGTTTTCGCTGCATTTAATGTCAGATTTGTGTCAGAGATCTTCCACTTACCTTGCACATGGACTCAAAAAACTGCTGCACAAGTGCGATATCCTTTGTGAACAGCTGTGGCATGCGGCTAGAGGAGAGGAGAGAAAATGTAGAATATTTTTAAATACTAAAATCTTAAACCAAGCTGGTGACATTTAAGGAAAAAAAAAAAGGAAGTCATTTAATTTTACCTTGACAGCTTTCCAACAGCAGAGTAGGCGACACATAGTAGCTTGGGATCCTGCAAGAACAAATATATATATATATATAATATATCAAATGAATCGGTAAACACAGACATTGCAGTATAAATGTGTGCCGTCACATGTAGTTTTACCTCCTTGTATTCATTGATGAGCTTGGTGAGACCATTAAGGAGCATTAGTCCCAAAGGTTTGTTCGTGTCAGGACATCTGAAAAACATATAAAGCCCAAATATTATTTTTCAAATGCAAATGAATATTTCGTGTAAAGAAATGAAACATGGATGGAAGTACACTTTTCTTACACCACGCAGATGTGATGGACAAACTGCAAGGTGAGGGACAGGAGCTTGTTGTTGGTGTTTGCTCCAAACAGACCGTCATACACAACCTACGGGGGAAAGAAAGCAAAGGAGTGATTGCGCCGCACACGGGAGCATTCGGGAAAAGGACTTAGCCGAACCACCAGACTTACTTAGTCTAAATATTGAAAATACACAAATGCACCGGCAAGCACGGACGCAGAGCCTACTATTATTATTATTATTACCTGGATGTTAGCTGGAAAGCACTCTGCGGCTAGACGTGACCGCAGAAGATGTGGCAGGATCTTCAGCTTGACTCTTGTGCTTACTGGCTCGTGTTTCAGCTCTTGCTTCACATTGCCTCCCTAGTGCACATACGAAACAGTATTATATACACTTCATATTTAAAAAGATAAAAAACCTTAAGTTAAAAAATGAACTGACGAACCTTTGATTTAAGAGGAACGTCCCCCAGATACACCTTGTACATCTTGTTGATAATTAGAGGATTGTTCCAGTCGATGATGCTGGAAGATAATGAAACACAAGGACGCAACCAACGGTATGAATACAAGTTTGTACTTTCAGAAGAATTTAGATACCAGCCTCTCAATCTCTTAAACTTAACCTGAAAACAAATGTTATTGAAAAAGAATCAATTTGAGAATGTTTATTTTATCTTGTGAATCTGAGGCACAAGTATACCTATTAATTAGATAATGCATCGTACCACATACTGAGTTCAAGGTGAGACTACTGCGTGCGTGACTTGATGGCCCAGAGACGACTCAAGCTCCTTCACTAACCTCTGTTTGCTCTTCAGCTCCAGATCAGCAGCAGTGGCCACACCGTGTCGGGTGTCGCTCGATGCCACCACCAGGTGCACCACCGTCTCCACCTCCGGGATTTGCTTTGCCTCCATGAACTTCACTATGCCCAGTTTACACTGTCCACACCAAACACAGGATGAAGGGATTAGAATCGTTACCCAGCCCTCCAAAGACACAGGGGCTCAGGCATAAAATGCATTGAATATCTATTATCTGATAAGTTTTGAGCTGTTTTTTGAGCAATAACGCATTTTGAGTTAGAGGCTCCAAATTTTGGGATGGTGTCTTATCTTTGTCAGGAATGCATACACAAACATAATAAAATATAGCCACTACTCGTCCTCCAGTGACTGTACCTGCTCCAGCTGCTCAGCGCTCCACTGGGCCTCTCCGATCACCCTCTTGGCAGCATAGACACTCATCCCTGGGGGAGGCTGGGGGAGACCCTGGACACCTGCGGCCGCCGTCCCCTCCGCAGGAGTTCCCTGGGAGGCGGCGGGAGCAGGGCGAGTCGGGGATTCATTCAGCACAAACCTAGAGGAGCCGGAACGAGTAACAGGTCAATGTTCTCGCACAAACGCTGAAGAGGTTGGACCGCTCTGAGAGCACTACAGAGCACACGGAGAGGACTCACCCGTAAGGCATCAGTAGAACATCCAACATGAACTCCAGCAGCAGCTGCACCGTCTTTGGCCTCTCAGATAAGTTAAATGGAGACGTGATCTTGGAGGAGTCTGCAGGATACTTCATATGGTAAAGAGTAGGGATCAGCAGGTGCATCAGGCTAAGAGAAGAAAGCGAGAGTGAAGCGAAACCACAGTCCAACAAGGAACAGAGAGGGGTCAGCCCCATATACAGAACCCATGTTTAACCTGATACATGGCAAAAACTTGAGGGGCTCTAAAAAAAAACCCAATAATAATCTTGTTTTAATCCAGTATTGTGATAATGGTAAATATGCGTGCATCCTACGGTGTGTGTGTGTGTGTGTGTGTGTGTGTGAGTGCATGTGTCCCCCCCCTCACCTGTCCTGCTGTGGCTGAGGCTTGCCCTCCATGGCAGTGAGGAGGGTGGGGGCCAGCTCGCACTGTTTCCCCACCTCCAGACGAGGGTAGCCCATTTTGATGTAGATGATGGTGAAATTCTACAAAACAAATGGATTGAACGATCACCATCACACATCAAATCACACATCACGACTTAAAAGTAAATAAAAAATATTAAATATCAAGACAGATGGAATAAAATCCATCAGTGAAAACTAAATCTACCATTTTTAACATACGGTATTAAAATTTGAGGCGTTAAAACACAGATGCAGACTGGTAGATATGTTATTGTCTCTGTAACTTAGTGAACTTACCAATAACCAATTTAATTTGTAACTGCTTTTTTTTTTGCACTACACACTCAATAGCGATTACACGCACCTACACATTTAGAAAATACTCAACTCTGTGATTGTATCATGACTGCAAATGAAAACTTCTGGCTCCACGAGGACAGCGCTGTAAACTTTCATTCTTACCGTCACAAAGGAGGCGGCAGCGGGATCTTGGTACTGCACCAGCAGAGTTTCTACCGGCAGCTGAATCTTTGGTCTGCTTTTTATCCTCTTGTTCAAATGGACCAACAACTCCATTACCTAGCAGAGGAGGCACAGAAAGTTATTTGGTGGTTTGATCAACAAATGCAAAAAAACTCACTGGCAAAACTGGAGGCTGCATGTTTGCATCATGTACATGTTTTATGGCTTTGACTTTAGTTTTGTTGATTAAAAAAAAGGCAATATTTGAGGGGGAGGTTCTGATGGCCTTTCACTGCAGATTATTCACATTTCTCTGAGGTGTAACTTGAGCAGAGACTCGTGAGTCATTAGAGATATAGTCGACACCCATCTTACTTTCTTTCGCACACCCTCCTGAACGCTGGAGAGTTTGAGGAGCACAGGGGGAAGGAACTTGGAGATAATGTCCTGTAGCTGCTCATCGGTTTCTGCATGACCCAGGCGAAGGAACACACGTTCCAGTTGATCTGTCAAAAACATTAATAAAAAATAAACACATTGAACACCTCGATCAACTGTTTTGTCTCATTTTCTGGGTGGTATTCGTCACATCCCAAGAATAAACACTGAACATGAGACCAGTTTAGAAGCAATAACTCTGCTAAAATTCATTTGACAACATTTTTCCATTCAAATATGGAAGCACAAACCAATTCCAATTGGGTTTATGCAACCACATGGAAAAAACACTGTGCGACCTTCAGCTTCAGACACGGGGAACAAAATACACAGAATTAAAAACTGACTAAAGACAGACCGTCCCAGAATGACTTAACGTTAAAGCTCGTGTAGCCAGCCTTCTCTCTCTTAGCATGTTCACTAACAGCTAGCTACATTCACTGACAGACCAGCAACGCATTTCTTATCATTTTAGACGCCACACCACTGTCTTTGCACAATCACTGACAGCCTACGCGTTTAGTCTGAAACGCTCTTAACATTCGGGTTGTGAATCTACAACTTAAAAGTGTGCTTAATGAAAACGTATTAATAGCATACGTGATAGATTCATTTTGACCATGACTGGGCAAACGGCCTCCAGACGTTAGCATTCTAGCTAGCAGTATAGCTGAGCAGCTAGCTACCGTCCCTGCACCAGTTTAAAACTGAAATAAGCTTTATCGTTACTTTAAAAAAAAACATCGCAATAGTTAGAATACAGAAGGATGATTGTTCATTTGATTTTTGACCGCCACGAATACAGCATTTTAAGAGATATTAATCACCAATACCGCAGAAAGAAACTTACTGAGTTCATCCTGGGCAGCCATGTTTGCAGAGCCACAATAGCGCCCCCACAGTTCACTGGTGTCACTGCACTCACTAGTGCCACTCCTTCATCATCGGCAGGCTCTCACATAAATCACTATTTAGTTTAATTTGTACACATATCCGTAGTTTATGGCAGTGCCACATTGTACATGTTTACAAGCAAAGGACTTTATGACCATTACAACAGCACACCATGCTACATTTCCATATTATGTCACTGCACACGATGCTGCTGTCTTTCTGGTGATCTTTTTTTCCCAACTTTATTTAAGTCATTAAAAATAACTGCAAGCCAGTCAATGTCTTTACATGAAAATATTCTAAATCATTGTGACAACAAAACAAGTTAGGGATAGAGCTAAGAAGACAAAGCTAGTGTCATGCCAAAGTAGGATGAACACCAAACAGAGAGATTTTTTTCCAAACTGGCAACCCAAGACTTGATTATGAAACATTATAAAGTTATTGGTATTATCTTATTAATAAACTAATTAGTTACAACTTATACAATGTGCCCTATAAGAAAATGGTACCATAGTGTTACCATTTAAAAATATATAATAATGATATATACATATATTAATTGTATTATTATTAATTAATTACTTCGGACCAGAATATAGAACTGATAAAATCGTCAAGGCAAATGCATAAAACATATGAAGTGTGCAATAAGGCTGGAGCTGCACTTTGCACTAACATTGGCTGCGTTCCATTTCAGCCACTCTCCTGCTGGTTCACAGATCTCACAGCGTGTGGATGCGTCCACCACACCACGGTCTGCCTTCCACCGCGTTCGTGCCTGTTTTCACGCAAACGCGGCTGAGCTGGAGTGGAGGCGGTCTGGAACGCGCCCTCGTCTCACTGGAAGAAGCAGCAGCAGCAGCAGGCAGAGTAGCTGTCATGTGAATCAGCTGGACGAACAAGGAAGGGGATAAATAACAAACTCGACTCCGTCTTTCTAAATCAAGGTAGAATACTATATACTTGTATGGAAACGACGTGTGATATACCGTCGTATAATGGTGTTTGGTAGCTAGCTTTGAACCCGTTTATCAGAAAGCGGTGTGCATTTCGTGACTACTGTGCAGAATTAGCCAAGCTATCAACAGCTAACCATTAGCGCCTGCCAACTAAAGAAGTTGGCAACGCTCGTGCCAATGGGCATATCGCACGGTGTGCTTGATCATTGTTCCTCTGCCTAAACATGTATGATATCGACACATGATGTATACACGATATAAATACTAGACTTATTAATTTGTATCACACAAAGTCACAGAGCCAAGCAGTTACAGCACGGGCCTATCTGCAGCCACCTTGCGAGGGGCATTTAAACCCCATCCACTCGTGCATTTAAGAAGTTAGCCAATGCTGCAGCTAGGTTAGCTTAAGAGCTAGCTATGCTTTCCTTGCCCAGCTGCTACTCCCGAGTGATTTCGAGTCAGGTACCGTTCATGAATTATCTAATTCAAGTCAAACAGAACCCAATGAGCTTACCACCTAAGTATAAGTTAGCTCGCAAGCAGTGCTAGTTATTCAGCCCTCTCTTTGCATCATAACACGTTGGCTAGTTGGCTAGTTAGCTGGCTTTGTAGACAACAAAGCTCAGCCAAGCCACAGAGGTCCATGCAGTATTTATGGGTCTGCCGAGATGTATTAGTCCCAGGGCTTTAACAGGTTTGTTTCAATTAATAACTGGCCGAATACGCCAGATCAATGATACCCATGTTTTGAAATGTTTGTTATAATATTTAAACAAAGACTTAACACATTGTGTCTAAACACTGTTACGTTAGCTGATTTTTCTAAAACTTGCAATTGCCTGTTACATAACCGGGTCGCACGCCATTATAATGTGGTTTGCAGTGAAGCAGCGTTATGATGAAATATAAGGTTGCAAATCCCAACAGCTCGGTGCCATGTGATCCTTTGTCTGGATGCACAGTAAAGTCAGAGTTGGGAGTGGGGTGGGTGGATGGGACAAAATCTCAAAAGGGTTGCTGGCATCAGGAAGGATCAAAGGGGCGAAGCGACATTTATTGAATCACTACCTCCATCTAGTGGTTAGCCTGCCGCCATTACACGCACCAACCCCCATAGTCCAGTTACACACCTGTGAATTACATCTAGGGGTGCAATAAGGTATTTGACTAAACACAGACACTTTCCTCTAAAGTATTGCAATTACTGATATGAAATTCTGATGGTATAATTCAATTCATCAATCAATCCATCACTGCAACGAGTGCCAAGATGTGCCTACGTGTGAAATAGGTACAGAACTAATGTTTTCAACCGGTTTGGTTATTAACTGACTCTATATATGTATAAATACACTCATCAAATGAAAATGCACAGCAACCACCAAAATCTCCAGTCAACAAAAGATGAATGAAGCAAAATAGAATTAATTCAAAATAAGAAAATGGGTAATATGAGGACATTATGTTAACATGAACGTGCTTGGTGAAATAATCACCTTTTAACTTTAAAATACAACAATATAAACAATCAAAAATGAATTACTTTCCAGATATATTTCCATCTGGACTGTAAAAGCATCTCTATCTATAATAGCATGTACAACATCTATTCAGTACTTTCTGAATAGATTATATTTGACTTAAAAAGATTCAGCAGATTCTCTAGTCTGCCCATTCTGCCCAGATTTGACCCGGTTACCTTTTCAGAATAGAGGAGGTTTCTCTCCACATAGCTATCAAAGTAATCAATGTATTTTTACCTTAGGGAATGTCTATCACCATTACAATTTAAAAAAGCCACTTATAAAATATAAGTTGATGTTGGAGCACATTTTCATTGTTCATTTTCTTTCTTCTTTCCCAGGTTATATCTGTTGAGGGGGCAGGATGGCGGGGGCAGAGGTGTACACCCCTGCAAACCCCACCTGCAAGATTATGACCTTCAGGCCCACCATGGAGGAGTTCAAAGACTTCAACCAGTACCTGGTTTATATGGAGTCTCAGGGTGCACACCGCGCAGGCCTGGCTAAGGTAATTTGGACAAAGTTTCAACCACCCACAAATGGTTTGGGTCTCACAGATCTGTGAGTGATGGACTTTGTTGTGTCCACACGGTTGGTGTGTCTGTGCATACAGTTGGACTGCTGTTGTAGAGGCTGATTATACATCATTTTGTAGTGATGGCAGTCTTAGTCAGTCAGAAGAAAGCGACGGATATTCAGATATAGTGTGACATATTTAATACATAATTGTCTAGTTGCCCTTCGGACACGCTGGGTCAACTGCTGCTGTTTCCTAAAGATGAACAGCTGATCAGAGCGACCTATTTGTCCGAAGTCACTGTTTTATTTTCAACAGCAATCCTCTCCTCTTCTGTTTGTCCCTCAGGTGATTCCTCCGAAAGGCTGGAAGCCCCGTCGTACCTACGACGACATCGATGATCTAATGATCGATGCTCCCATCCAGCAGATGATGGCTGGCCAATCAGGGCTCTTCACTCAGTACAACATCCAGAAGAAGCCTCTCAGTGTGCAGGAGTTCAGGCGACTAGCAAACAGTGACATGTGAGTATTATGGAGTTCATTGTTTACATCCACACTGACATTACATGCTGCTGCTGCCAGAGTAAGAATCTAACTTTGTTTAGATGTACACAGTGTATGCGACTGGCGTATTACAAAGTGTACAATGTTAAACAAATATATTCTTAGAATACAGAATAACCTCTAGAAGATTATTAGTTACCCGGCAAACCGGCTGAAATAGAGAGATACTTAATATCAACAGCATCAATATAGTGTGTGTGAATGTTCAATGTTGATTTATCATCCTGGATGGATGAAGTCAACAAAGTGAAAGTCAAGAAGTAAATAGATACATTATATCCAGTTGTGTTGCTGGCATATTTATATTCTATTTATGAATCGACAGTTTTATTAATTTGAATGGAGACAGAGTTGCGAGAAAGTGATTTTAAAGTGCAGGAGCATTATTTGCTGAGGGTGCATGTTGTTGCTGATGTGTGTTATGAGATAGTTATTAATGGAAGGTCACCTTGTGATAGAAAATTTTGGTGTGCTAGTACATTTCTACTGTGATTTAGTTTATTTGCCTTACTCACCAACAAAACTATATGTGACATATGATTGTGTACTGAGGAGAGTGGTAACCGGACCATATGGGGTGTCGCTGTCTTTGCTTTGATAAGGGGAAGTAACCAAATGGGGGTTGCAGTTTAACCAGAGAGTGTTTAGGTGTGAAGATTCCCAGGGATAATCAAAGGTAACAAAGACATATGTCTTTGTGTGACAAGGCTCAGAAGAGGAAGGGGATGACTGGGGGGGGTCAATGGGGAGCTTGAAACTGCTGATCAATTGTTGTAATGTAAATACCTGATGTCCCCCCCCTGCTGTGTGCTGAGATGCTTAGCAGGAGACAAACTGAACTCTTGGCTCATCCTCTGCAGACTGTGTTGCAGTCAGTATGACGGTGACGCCTTCTCTGCGCAGAGAATAAATACTTTAAAGACAAACCTCTTTCCTCAATGTTTCTTGTTTCAGTATTATAGGACTCACTCGGTACTATTGAATCGTTTTTCCACCACAACCTTTAACTAGATTAACTTTTATAAGCATAGAAGATTATAAAAACAGGATGGACTATTTGAACACTGAATGCAGATGTCCTGTTACTGAACACTGTTAATGCATTGCTTCATGTCATTTGCTGTTTTGTTTCTAGTGTGTTGCTTGTTTCTTTTAAGTAAAATGTCTTTATGTTTGTTTGAATGGTTTTTGCTGTTGTCTGTTTTTCTTTTCTTTTAAAGTGTTAATGCTGTTGTCTGAATCTCAATGGGACTGTTGCTGGTAAAATAAGGGCTAAATGAATATAAATATGATGTGATTGTCCTCCACAGGTACTGTACACCTCGCTACCTGAATTATGAAGATCTTGAGAGAAAATATTGGAAGAACCTGACTTTTGTCTCACCCATATATGGCGCTGATGTCAGTGGCAGCCTCTATGATGAGGTAGGTCATTCATCTTTTTCCTTTCTTGCTTACTCTCTGTGT